AAAAATGAATCCGCCTCAACAATATAGAACTTATCAACGAAACCTTACAGTGCAAAACACAATTCGTTAAAAAAATGCGGATGCTTTTTACTGCAAGAAGAGAGAAAGAGAGGTGGGAAGTGCTGGATGCAGAAGCAATTGCCACAGACTTCCATCCAATCATTTTTACTACAAAGTCCTACTATTTATTTAGCTTCCATAGATTATCTTTCCAGAAATCTTCAGACCCTTCTTTTTGCGATTCCTGTGGTAGACAGAACAACAATTTCACATTTCGACTTCTTAGGGGTACCCTTTTTTATGAGTACCTGCCTGTTTGGCATTGGGTGATGTTTGTTTCGTCCCGTTTTACGTAATTTTTAGATGCGTTTTCCTTTCCAGTTACATTATAAAAACCCTTTTTCCGCAGTACATACTACTTATAAGTTTAACGCCATGATTAATAAACGTTCTTAATTTGTAAAATGAAAATTTTGCAAAAAAATTTGCACGTTTTTTCCTACTTAAGTAGTACTTACTTAGCGGAGATGACAAGCTTATCCCAATGGGACTTTAGATCGTCGTCTTCTGGCTGTTCAGCAATAAAGAGGCCCTCAAATTCCAATCTTCTTGCAATTTCCTTTTCCCGTTTAAATATAGCCAAAGGCACCTGGAAGGCGACACCTCAAACATTATCAACTCAAAAAATCAACGTGTAACACAACCCTCAATTTGTGAGTGAGTAGAAATAGTCGCTTCCTCTGTTCTCCATTGAGAAGTGAATGTAAAAGAAACAGTTACTTTCCATCAGGGCATAAAACCACCCCGTTTTACCTTACAAAAACACTCCATACCTTCAAGTGATAGTATGCGATCAGCATAGCAAGGGATGCTATAGAATGTAGCATCGCCGCTAAGCGCATTACGTGTGCCATGTAATAGAAATCCTCATCCACTATGACTAATTCGGGCGGATCATCTTCCTCTTCCGAACCTGATCCACTACCCTCTGCAGATCCCTGTAGGAGGTCGGCGCCCTTACCACTCCCGCTTCCATCTGAATCGCCTCCCAATGTTGTAACCTGGACATCGCATCAGCTACATTAACAGGAACATTCTTCAACGGTCGTGCTTTACCTTGTAGAACAACAGCATGAAGTTGATGCAGAACGCCAGCACAAGTGCCACATATTTAAGATTGTAGAAGTTTCGCGCTAAGAACGACACAGCGCGATGGGCGTATGCACTGAAATTGATCTGTTGCATAGCTGATGGCTCGCGAATGTTTTTGGCTTTGCTTTCGGATTCTATCGCCTGCATAACTGCCTGCTGGGCTGCCTGAGCTTCAGCTTTTTCCTGAGCAGCTATCTTTGCCTGTTCACCCCTGAACAATAAACATATAATTAACCACAATAAAACCGTTAAAGGCATATAAAACTGCCACCAGAAAAGGTAGCTTAGTGTCACTTATCGAGATAATAAATCACAATACGTCAAAATTCTAGTAGCAAATTCGCATTGAAAACCCTTAAATATGGCCGATTGTGTATGTACGAAAGCCCCAGGGCTGGGGCTTTGCCCCGTCCCGTTCCTCAATAATCTGGATGTGTGCGACCTGGAGCTATACAAACATCCCCCGTTTATGTGGACGCTGTGGTACATAAGCCTCTTTGGAAAATTCGTCTACGATAAAGTAAAGCAAATGCTTGATAAAGAAGGTGGAGATGATGGTGGCGACGACGGTAAAAAGAATGACCAGAAGGGTGATGACCAAGGCGGCGAAGAACCGGACGCAGCTGACGAAGAAGAAGCAGCGGAAGAGGCAGGCTAAAACACTAAGCATTGTGAAATAAATTGGAACAGAATATTTGGCGACGGGTCAAGTGGGAGCAAGTGGTGAATGTATTGATGCTGGAAGAATTTAAATAAAAAAACTTAGCAAACAGTCTTAATATTTACCCTAGAAGGTCGGAGAGGGACAGCGGTTGTTCGGGCACTTCGCTTTCAGCTTGTTCTGTGCCTTCCTCGGTAGTCGCTTCGCCTTCTTCGCCGGAAGACTGCTGAGTGGTGGCGGAGCCTTCATGTCCAGGCGTTTTGAATCTAAGGAGTTTTAGTAGTTCGCCACACATAAATTACATTAAGACGATATCTTGCGGACTTTGGTTTAAAAAGTTTGCTTCAAATGCCAACTATGCAAGTTAAAACGGATTAAATCTAGTGTTCAAATTTAACTGCACTTACTGTCCAGCCTCCTCTTTTGAAACTTCCATTCCAAACGGTTGCAGTTGGGTGTTGGGATCCTCGGCATGGGGCAAAGGTGGCAACACTCTAAGATGACTCACTTTTTCTTCCTCCTTAATTTCCACAATGGGTTCTTCGACCACTGGGCCTCGCATCAATGACATCAAAATGCCAAGGAAGTATTTGATCACCACAGCCATACCGAAACCGGAATAGTAGAAAGTGTAGAAAATCAATTTGAAGAAGCCTGCAAGTAACCAAAGTGCTCAAAGTGATGCCACAAAAAGTGTGCTATTTTTACCTATGAACAGTTCTGGAATGGTCATTTGCTGCATTTCATTAAGGCGGTGCTTGATATTCGAGGGACTCAAAGCGGAAAATCCATAGTAAATACCATCCTTAAACGCTTGGTAGGAGCGACGAATTGGATCTTTGCCTCCTCTAAACAGATTGGAGAGCGCAGCAATAAATAAACGAACAATTATTGTCAACGTTCAATTCAAAAGCTCAGAAACTAAAATTAAAACAGCGAACAATTAAACTTACCGTTGTTCCTCTTCATCAGTCATATAACTATAAGTCGTAGCTCTTGTAGGACCGCCGCCGCCCGATTCCTCCACAGCCATCAAGGCACTCGCGTGTTGCATCTCAAAGATTGCATCTTCACAGAAATTAATGAAGGCTTCCAGCTTTTCCTTGTCTCCACCTTCTGTCACGATGGAGTAGAAGAAGGCCCTTTTCGACTCTTTGATCTGAGGCTTCTCCCACTGCTCGATGTTCGACTCTTTGATTTCAAAGTACACTCGTTCAATGCGCTTGCTACCGCCTAAAACAAGCAAGTAAAACAAAGGTTGGTTTTGGTCAAATTGGGCCTAATTGTATTGATGTACCCAAAATTTCAATGCGTCCCAGGAAAGGCTCAAAATAATTTAGAACCGATCCCGCCGTCTCTAAGAATCTGGCAAGGCGTGGCTCGTTGGGCATATGCTCAGACAAGTTGGTCAAGAGCACGGCCAAATTGAAGCCGATCTCTTTAGCAGGTTCATGGAAGCGATCTATGAAACCTACGTAATCAAGTTTGCCGTCGTGGTTGACTTCGCAACATGCAAGTAGGAACTCAATTTCCTCACTGAAAGAGTAATTCCAAAATTACATTCTACCCCGTCTTGGCTGCACCACCCTGTATACTCACGGAGTGTAGCTCTTCTGCTGTTCCATTTTCTCTTTGAAGTCCTTCGGATACACCCAGCCGTCGCTGTTAATGTCAATCTCCAAGAAGCTGGTGGACGAAGTAAGATCCTTCAGCTTTAGGAACATATCGAAGTATTTCAAGATCAATTCCACATTGGAAGCGCTTTCCACCAAGGTGTCTACCATCTGCTTCCCGATGGTACCATTTACAACATTTCCTGAAAGTACGCTCGGATTTAAAAAGATAAATCCACACGCAGTCACGCTGGTTAACACCTTCAAGCATGGACAACATCATAGTGATCATGTCCTTCTGGAGATTCAGCAACTCTTTAAGTAGGTCCACTTGGCTAGAATGTTTGGATAATTTGTCTTGCATGTGGGAGAAAAGGAACATGAATCCGCCCACAGCATCCCACAACCTGAAGTGGATTAGTTAACAGTTGAAGCGGTTAAAAGTAGCTAAGTACCTGGAGTGGGCAAGTGCCTGCTGATTCAACGTGCATGGGCCCTGGATAACTTCTGTGAGGGTGTTAAATACCTGGCTAGCTACACCTATGGCTTTAAAAAAGTTAGCTTTTCCGGCAGGATCGATCAACTCCTTGCTGGAATAGTGCCAATAGAAGTCCATTATGGATTCTTGCAGGCGCAGCAGGTAATCGACTGTACAAATGACCACGTTTACTGTCGTGGTATTCCCCGCTTGCGTCCTCAGATAGTTCTGCCACTCTGAAGCAAAAGACCTTTTATATATGATCACAACAACCTCAGCAACCGGCTTGTGTCCTACCCAGATTGTGTCCTTCACAGGTCAGTTGGATGAATCTGAACAACGCACAGGTAAATTCAGCATCATGCATATTTTTCTCGCCAGCCGCCCCTTCAGAGCCAACTCCCAGGCCTTCGGCCTTAGTGTTTCTCTCGAAGGCGTCCAGGTCAAGCACACCGCAGCTGTTCATCAACCCAGCAATACTGGTGAAGAAACCGACGTCTTTTTTATCTTTCAGATGGTTCAGCATGCCCATTTGGATGTCGAAATTGCCGCCACGCAGTATGGAAATGCCCAGTTCCAGAGTTTTCATCACCATGTCCGATGGAACCCCTTTGCAAGCGGAGATGTGCAGAAGCACCATTTCGGCCACACCTCGGTTCGCCAATCTGGCTTGGTTGAATAGAAGTTTTTGCTTCTCCATTTCTTGTTCCTATTTGCAACAACACGCACGTTTTTGAAAACATTAGACCAATTCAGGGTTGGAGTGTGTTTTTTTACCTGCATTTTGCGCATTGTCCTCTAATGGTCAAGACATAAACCCAATGGGAATTTAGTAATAATGTGAAAGTGGTCAAGGATGTCAGTTATATTATTATTATTTCCCAAGAAGTAGACCTTTTTTGGACTCAAGCAATTAAATCTTCAATTTTTTTGATCATCCAGCATGTTTCCGTTATAACCCAACGGCAACGGGAAACTTACATGAATAGAGGATCCGCCTTCTTCCCCTTCGCCTCCTTCTTCTCCACCCTCTTCGCCTTCTTCCTCTTCCTCTCCACACGACTTGGCGATAATTTCCGCGTAGCTCATATATAGGGGGTCTTCTTGCAACGCACCAGATCTGTTTTACCATGGAAATAATTCAGGAGGTGAAGTTAAATGAGGACGTTTTACCTCTCAGTCATGGCTCCGCGACAGAACGTTGTCACCAGTTGAGTGAGTGGGTCTGGCTTGCCCTCTTCCTCCTCTCCTTCTTTTTTCTTCAACTCGGAGTCTTCGAAGCTTTGAGTGAGATCCTCGATCATGACTTCTTGACCGACGTTTTCATCTTGTAGCCAAAAGTCTCGGTAGGTGCGGATGAAAATGTTAATGGCGCGATGTCTAAAACGTGAAAACGCGAGTGTTTTATTATAGTAAAAGCGAGAGTATCATTTTTCCCCAATTTGTATATGCATCCAAAGAACTTTAGGGAGAAATAGATTAGAATCAGTCACTGCATACTAGAAAATTGGATTTTACCACTGATTAATTAGAAGCCTGAGTGATTGGAGTGTTTGATAGTATGTTTCAATGGCATCTCCTATTCAAGATGTTTAGCTAACTTTCAGACACATAGAAGTCAATATCAGATCAGCAAATTTAGATGATTTGGATCAACTTTCCCCCAAAAAAACGCAATGGAAGTGAATTTCACGTGTTAAACAGTTAAAAAAATTTAAGAGACAATAAAAGCTCGAGTTTGGGACTGGTTACCTGGTAACTTTATACAGAGGAGTGCACCTAAGACATGCTAGCGCCGCTCTCTTGCGGGCTGCGTTGAGAACCTTTTTCCAGCCGTCTCCGCCCACTTTTGGTTTGGAAGCCTTTGGTTAGTAGTGCACAAAAACCACAATATTAGATTGCAAAAAWACATTATTTTTGCTGGCTGATTTTTTAGAATGCGAAATCCGGAAAAATCAACTTTCGGAAAAGGCATCGGAAAGGAAAAGTGTTTCCAGTTTCAGRATTTKCCATTCTAAATGAACCATCCAGTATACCATAATGTTAACCATGTTGTTTTTTTAGAGTCACCAGATTAAGAASAACAGACTACACAAAATTGCAGGTCATTTTACAGTAAAAGCATTCAGGCATCAACAAACAAGCAGAAATGAACAAACCTGGGTAGACTGTGCAAAGAGGCTTGCCGGAAGCAGGATAGAACCGCTCTTTTGCGTTGAGTGGACACAATAGACCTATAAACACCTTTCTGCTGCTGTTGAGGGTGATCGATCTGGCAGCAAGCAAATAATAACGGAATAAATTGAAGAAGAACTTTCCGGCAATGTAAAAGCTTATGAAACTGGCAAAGACGTACTTACCGATTTCAACAATGTTATTAAAAATTTTATTGAAATCTAATCGAATTGAGCTTGTAAGCTTTAAGTTGAAACTGAAAAATCTGCATGTAACTGATATGAGTAAATAAAATGCAGAAGGTTTTTATCTAGACTAAAAGAAAATTTCGCTCCTACCAAGGAAAGTAGTACATAGTCCGGGATAATACATGTGTACTTACCATGTGCAATCCATATAACACTTTACTCATTGCTACGATCCTCTCCACAGTTTCCTCAAGCTGATTCTTGCCGTTGGTGTCCAAGGTGTTGACTGTAACACTCTTTTTTCCCAATTTGCTGTACAAATAATGCTGCCATGACATCTCATCGGCTGGGTCAATTTTATCGGGCAAAGTGAGCTGAATTTTGGCAAAATCTATGGAAAACTTTCGCTAGAGCTTCTTAAAACCAGTGCACCCATAAAGTCTTACCGACAATTTCATACTCGGGCATTTTTTTGAGGAACCGATCTTTGCAATGCTGTACCAGTTCCTGCTCGCGACCAGCAAACAAATTTAGACCGACCGGAAGCAAACGTTTCAGACATGCCACCATCAGGGAGGCCTGAATTTCCTTGTCTTTGTCGCGTTTCTTGTCTCGGTTTTTCTTCTTCTTCTAAAGACAAACATTTTTCGGGTGCATTAATCTGATAGTGCCAAAGTGCAAGCGGTAGCAGTTTCTATTTAAATTAAGCAGTAATTTGCAAAATGATATATAAGAAAATTTTGAACAGGGTGACAATTTGAAAATGTCCCTAACTGAGGAACCAAAAAGATGGAAAATATTCCTTGGAACCGTTTCTATATTAAGTTGGAGAAATTAATTT